CGAGCCGCTCCCCCGCCGGCGGCCGCCGTCACCTGATCGCCCGGAAGCCCGGCCCTGACGGAAGGGACCGGCCTCCCCTCCCCGCCGCCGCGCCGGGCCGCGGGGCCGCGTTCCGCCCGCCCGCGGCTCCCCCTCAGAACCGAACACAGCCCCCGGCCGGTTGTTACCTCAGCGGTGGAACCGGCTGGGCGCGGTGCGTTCCCCCCCTACTCCGCCCCCAGCTCAGTCGCCGCCGCCGCCGGGCCCCTGCCTGCGGGGTTTAACTCGGTGTGTGCTGCATTTCTGCCGCCTGCTCATCCCCAGGGGCTGCGGGGCCCTGTCCGCACGCTGCTGCTGGAAAAGAGCAAAGACTACATCTCCTCAACAACAGCAAACGTTTGGCCCAAGCAGGGAGGGAAGGAAGGAAGGAAGAAAATGAAGGAAGGAAAGGAGGAAGGAAGGCAGGCAGGCAGGATGGCGGCAGCTTTGAGGGAAAGAAATTGTTCAAATGTGTGTGCAGAGCACTAGGGTGTGAGCAGGGAGCATCTCCAGGATGGGAATACAAAGCTTGATAAAGGTATTTATACAGCTGTGAGAAAGCACAAAGATAGAGAGGGACAAAAGGGAGGGAGAGGAGGGGAGCTGGTGTCCCAAGGGGACGTCAGAGCTGAGAAGGGTGACCATGGAGTCACCTCTGAAGGGTTTTGTCCCTGCTCTGACGCAAAAAATGGTGCAAAAGTGCTTGTTGTTTCACACAGTGGAGAATGGGTGAAACCTGCACCAAGGTCTGCCACTAAAGGCGAGTCTTAGGAGGGAATAGTTAAGAATTGGAGGAGGTTTGTGTCAGAAAGAGACTAAGGATGTTGTCAGAGGCCTGTCTCCTCACTGAGGTGGCCTCAGACTCCACAGCTCTAGTGCGAAGGTTGGAACCTGCAAGCTGGGAAGTGCTCACCGATATAAACCCACTGCTGTACTAAGCTTCACGCTGCTTTCAGCAGCACGTAGGCTCAGCAAAAACCATGTCAAAGTGTTCATCCAGCAGCCCCGCTGGAGCTGCCCTGCACGCTCGTGTCTCACGCTGCAAAAATTTGTAGTGGAGGTGAAGATGAAGGTAGTGTCTGAAAATGACAGCGCTTGTGGCATTAGGACACACGTTATAAAGCTCACAGTGTGTTTGCTGCCTGTGAAAGTTTCTCTCACAAAGCAGGCTGTCTCCCCGCTGGCAGGGAAGCAGCACGGCATGGCACAGCCTCAGCATTCTGGCAAAAATTTGGCATCTCAGCGTAGTATCGGATTAAAAAGAAGTTAACAAGGCCCCAAAGGTATCAGTGGTATCCTCCAGATGCTCATTAAAACAAGGATGAGCTTCTGAAGTTTGGACCAGCTTAGACTAGACACTATGTATGTCTAGAATCAAAAGAATTGCAGTATAAAAAGTTTTTAAATGTTGATTTTTGCTGTTATAATCATGGGAATAAGTAACGCTCAGAACAGTCTTTATTGTTTGGGTACCATAGGATAGTGAAAGCAATCTGAACAGAAACACATTTACTGCCGTAAACAACACAGCCAGGGAATACTTTCACTGCCCAGTGATAATTTTAACATTTTATTTATGCTTTAAGTTTCAGAAAAATTGAATGATATTATTATGCATTTCTAGAGTGACTTATTTACGGTAGCCTTGTTCACTTCTAGCAAGTGTTTGCTTTTTAAGATGGAAAAGATCCAGAGACAGGCAATGAATAAGACTGGAAGAATGGAAAGGGCGGTGTCCAAGAAGAGAATGAAAATTTTAATCTTGTTTATAGCTAAGGTTAATAGGAGGGGAACAGACTTATTTAAAACCGTGGGGTCAGCTGGAGAACGTACGTGGGACATTCAGATTTACTCCCATTGGCAAAGAATAATTACATTGAACGGCAATAAGTGATGCAAGGGAACGCTTTCCTTGCTGAAGCTAAGAAATCAACTTTCAAAGTGCTCTCTCTCACGTGCATAAGGGGAATAGAGATATCATTATGTTTACGTATATTTTAATGGTGCTATGTGTGTCATTCCTCAGTGTAGCTGGTGGCCAGTCATGGCTCAGAGTTAGAAAAACCCTGTGCCCTGGTTGCCAGTTCATTCTCGTTACGTGCATGAGAATAGATCACTTTGATTTACTCACTTCTTCATGATGTAAGTTACATAATGTTGGTATTTATGGTACACACAAAGCCCCTCCTAAAATTATTGGGTAAAAAAAGTCATACATATATCAGGAATCCCAGCTGTTGAACCTGTTATCAGTATTTTTCTCATCAGTTCTCCCACACAGTCTTCGGGTTTTTTGAGTTAAAGATTTAATGCCTTTTGGGAGGTCAGTTTGTTATCCCTGGCACTTGTTGTTCCGTATTGATGGACAATGCTGCAGCAGCAAAAGGCACAGGCAGAGGAGATGGGGTTTTCTTTCCCCTGGCAGGGGTGGGGGCATTAGATGGTTTTTGCCTGATCATTTTTACGTATTTTAATGCATCTTGTGTGTCTCCTATCTTTTCTCACCCACTTTTGAGGGATAACTTCCTACCGCGGATGGATCCCATCCTACCTCAGGCTTCCATGGTGGGAGGTTTTTGTGCTGACTCTCCATGAAAAACTTCATTTAAGTGCTGTCAGTCAGTATTTCTGAAGCAGTGAAATTACCGTCTGCAGCCTGGTACAAAGAACCAGTGTAAATATGCTTTTTTCCACAGGATCTTACAGTTCGGCCTATGGCACCCAGCTCCTCACCATTCCTTCCATTCGCCCATTCCCAGGTTTTCAGGAAGACCTGGCCCACTGCCCTGTGCCCTTTCCCGTGAGCGCAGACTCCTCTTTCAGGGAGAAATGAGGAATTCGGAAGCCCCGGCGGTGCCCGTGCCGGCCCTCAGTCGCCGCTCTTCCAGGGGGGGCCCCGCCGCCGCCATCTTGTGAGATGCGCCCCCGGAGCACTACAGCCCCCAGCATGCTCCGCGCCCGCCCGCTCGGACTACAGCGCCCAGCGTGCCCCGCGGCCGTCGCGCCTCCAAGATGGCGGCGCCCAGGGGCGGCTCGGGCCTGGAGACGGACACGGACTCGGACAGCAGCGGCGAGGCGGCAGCGCGGTTCCGGGAGGCCGCCTGGGACTGCGCTGCGCAGGCGGCGGTGGCGGTGCGGGCGGAGCCGCGCAGCGGTGAGGGTCCGCGGTCAGCTGGGCTCTGTTCTGCCTCCGCAGTTGCCGCGTGTCCTGCCTTGCCTTCCCTTCCCCACCGGTCTGCCCCTTCCGCAGCCCCTCCTGCCCCGGGGGAGCTGTGGTTACGAGCGGGCATCGCCCTGCCGTTTCGGGGGTCGCCGGCCCCACGGGGAGCCGAGGCGGGGCTGCGGGACGGGGGCTGGACCAGTGGGAGGTCTCCCTTTGCCCCCTGTTTGCCCCCGGAGGTGGGCGTGGGTTGTCTTTCAGGCGTGATTCTTTATGCTATAAAATGCTTTAAAGTGTGCCAGAAGGGGGATTAAAGAGGTCCTGGGTCTTTTAAACTTGTCTTTGCTTCTTCCTTTGTCAGGTGGCTCTAAAAAGGATCGGCCACAGCCTGCTCAGCCTAGCCTAAGGTATTTTTGCTTCTGGCTTCAGACTTAACATTTCACTGAAGAATAAATAAATGGGTGTTGTATTTGTGCTACTTATGGTTAATGCCTCGTGGGATTTCCTACTGGAAGAGCCTGTTCTGTTTTAGGAATTAGTCCGACCATAATCTGAAATGATGCTTAAATCTGAAAACGCTAATAGGTTTTTAAAGAACTTTTCTCATCCCTCTAGCAGCAGGGGAATATAGAAGTTGAAAACGTACTGCTGATGTCAGTTACAACATTAGTTTCAAGTGTCAGAAATCTCCCAACTCTGTAAGTGTCTCATGAAGGAATGAGTATAGTTACATATGAAAAAATCTTCAAGAAACATTGCAAAGGCAAGGACTCGGCAGCTGGAAAGCAACACCTGGGTTAGGAGCCTTGCAATGGAGGTGGTGCTGGCCTATCTAAGTTTTGCAGCATTTTGTAGGCTTGATTTCAAAGGCTGTCAGCCAGGCAATTTAATAAAATCCTCTCTCCTGGGACAGGTTTTGCATTAATTGTGGCAATGTGCACAGGAACTATATGCAAGGCAAGGGATGCCCTGACATTATTTGCTTTTGTAGGCTGTTTCAATGAGAAAAATCATCCAAGTACTAAATAATGTTTATTTCTGTCTTGGGAACTGAATTGTTACTACAGAGCTATTTTCCAGCTTCTTAGCAGTCTTTCCTAGCAAGTGTGAATTGATCTCTAGAGGGTAGGAGATTTTACAGTCCCATATCTCCTGTTTGGGCAAGAGTACCAGATGTTATTGGCCTTGAAAGAGGTAATCATTATTCTTATTTTAAACAGGCGTGAGGTGAACAGTCATGATGAGGATGGAAATGAGCTACAGACGACACCAGAGTTCAGAGCACATGTTGCGAAGAAACTGGGAGCAATGCTGGACGGGTATTGGCAAGCAATACTAAAAAAGTTTGTTCTATGGGTCAAGTGCATTGATGCTTTTTTGTGCTGAGGAAATTAAAGATCAGAGTGCAACCTGGATATGGAGGAGAAGTTGTTTTTCTTCTTGTCTCCTTCATTCCTGCATTTAATACAAACTTCCAGTATTCTGTGAGCTAACCTGGCCCACGTGCTGTGCTCCTCTATTAAAGACTCCCTTAACAGCTCTGCCTGTCTCCATTTGCCTCTGTGGTATGAATGAATTGTGGGGAGAACAAAGTAGAATTTGGGTGCCTTAGCACTTTCATTGTTTAAAGGCCAAGCACGAGAATCTTTCATTTATTCTTACAACCTAAACCAATACCTGATTCAGGGTTGTGCTGGCAGTATGCCTCTGAGCTGCCTCTGTCTTTATTTATTGTGTAAATATGGGCCTGGAGAACTAGAATTCCTGGTGTTTAGAGCTGGCTTTAGAAAGGCTTCTTTTAAGCTGTTCTTGTGGCATGCGTTGCCAAGGGGAGAAGGCATGGTCGGCTCTGAAGGCAGGGAGGTGAGACAGCTTCACTAACAAAAAGGTGAGAAGCTATGTAACATCTTCCTATAGTCTTGTTTTCTAGAAATGCCCAGCTTTACCTCAGTTTGCACAAACCTGTCTAAGATCTGACTGGGTTTTTCTCTTTAGTTTTATTACTGTCTCGAAGGACTCATCAGGACCTTCACAAACTTCTGCCCAACACTCTGACTCTGGAGATGACGGTGAGTTCTCGTCACAGCCATTGTGGCTGTTTTGTGACATTGTCAGTTAAATAATGACAAGTAGGGTGGATCCTGTCCGTAGTCAGGTGGGTGTACAACTGGCAAAGCATTTGCAGTAGAAGAATTTCTGTTAGTATCTGTGAAGGCTCTTTGAAGCTGTGATCTCTGTGCCTTAGGTCCTCTCGGTCCCCAGTAGTTGCTGTCAAGCACTGCAGCAATACAGTCACAGCAGTGGGGCTTCCCAGGGAGATTACTGTTTATTGCTTTCACCCCTGTTTTATATCACAGCTAAAATTCCTTTTTACCTATTTTAGGGTTTCGCCTCTTCTCCTCCTCTGTCCCGGGAGACTGTGGGAAGTCGGAGCCTGGCCCTGCAGCAAGGCGGAGGCGGCCGTCTAGCTCCAGGTGGGGTGTTGTCAGCTGCTTTGCTCCTCAACTACTATTCCATCCCACATTTCAGGGGCAGCTGGGACTCCCGCAGGGGAATAGGAAGGTGAAGAGCTTGAGAAGTGTGTATTTATGACTTCTATAATTGACTAAAGCAGGGTTGGTTGGTTTGTTTGTTTTATAGTGCTGGGGAACTAGAAATGTTTGTGGGAGGTGTTCTTTCCTCTCCTAGTATGTGTAAAGAACACCTCAGCCTTCAAACTGGTTGAATGCTAACTGTAGGTATTAGGGTCTTGGAGCCACTGGGTGTTTGTTGGGTGTTCTCATCTAAGATTGCTCTGCCATTTGTGCTTTGGGGGAATTCAAGGCAAAAGTGTAACTTACTTCCCTTTTGTTACCTTTCCAGTGACTCAGACAGTGACCAAGAATGGCAAAGGTACCAAGAGGCTGCTGTGTCAGCCACAGACATTCTGAAGCAAAGTGCTTTTCCCACACTGTCCCAGGATTCCAGCCAGGATCAGAGTCAGGGTTCTGTAGAGCACGGCCAGAAAAAAAAGAAGAAAAAGAAAGTTAGGGAAGAGAAAAATATTCAAGAGAAAATAATAGACCCAGCAGAGTGTGACCAGATCAGCAAAGATTTGTCACAGTTGGTGTCTGCAAATGGAAAGCCTGAGAAACAGAACGGCAATCATACAGAGAACTCAGTGTTGCCAAGAGTCGTGAAGAAGAAAAAGAAGAAGAAAAAAAGAGAATGAAGATTTTGCTCTGCAAAACGGCAGGTGATTATGATGGATGAAGGATGCTGAAAAAAAATAACAAAAAGAGTTGCTGCAGATGAGGGAAAAATAATTGGCGAAGCTTCTGTTCTAAAAGCTCAGTGGCCTGAGAGTCTAATTAAGTGACTCCCTATGTTGTTGGCGTCCCTTGGGGAAGGGAACAATGTTCTCCTAGCACAGCAGTTATCTGTGCTGCTGCTTATGCAGACCTAGGGTAAAAGGATTAAAAACTGTGCAGAGATTTGCATGACAGAGGGATATAATCATAGCTGCATCCCTCCTGCTCTGTTCCTTCACATCATGAAACAAATCTTGTGTCCTGGAGAAAGTATATGATGAATTGAGTTTGGTTTACATGGCAACAGGTGATCAACTCCTTTTTCTCTTTGCCTCCTCCTAGATGCCTACTAAGAATAGCTCCAGCCTGTGGGAGACTCATTTATCTAAAGCATCCTGTCAGATATCAGGGCCCCCTTATTTTTTTTTAATTCCTGTGATCATCATAAAAATCCACTGCTGAAACCTGCCATGTTACTAATCCCTCTGTAATCTGCACCTCTCCAGGGCCCCTGCATATAAACCGTGTGCAGTGAGCTTTTTTCAGAGTTGTTATAAACTGGTAGTTCTGTTCAAGTTATGTCCTTTGAAATTTCTTTTCATGTATAGGTTTGTTTGGGTTTTTTATGGCATTTGTTATTAAATTCTACTATACTATTTGTCTTATTTAATTTGGGAGGTTTTGTACAACAGTGGCTTTCTTGCTGCATTCGGATGGCTCCCCCAGCAGAGATAAAGGTGGCTGAAGGTGGCTCTTTAGTTGCTTGGTGATCAATGCTACAAAATTGCTACAGGAAGGACTCAAGTCTAAATTGAAAGACTCCGTGTTTCAGTCCTTATCTTGGTTGATTATGACTTTTGTCTCTGAAATACAGTGGGTTTTGGTAGTTTTCAGTATGGCTCTTAGTCCGTTTATACTTTCCCTCCAGTATTTCAGGAAATGACCTGTTATTGGATAAATACTCTTCTTCTGTTTTTAAGATTGTTGGGTTTCAGTAGCTCTAACTCATCTGCCCTATTCAGGAGACCAAAAAGCCAGATCAGAGAAACCAAAATAGTGAACTGTTGCTCTCTGAGCGTGGGAAAATCCAAGATGTTTTCTTTCCTACTGTAAGATCCTTGCTGTTTTTTAATCAAGAAAACACAGTTGCCATCCAAAAATGGAAAGGCTAAGTAGAAAATTGGCTTGTAATCTAACTGAATGCGCCAGCAGAAATTACTTGTCTTGCATATGGCCAGTACACTGACACTAGCACCTGGGGTTTCAAATGCATAGTGGTCTAAAAATTGTCTTTTGATTTGTTTTATGATGATTATTTTTATGCTAACTGGAAGCTACATGTATTTGCAAATGATGGACATGGTAGGTTAGGAAACGATTCTAGGATAAAATCCCTCAAGAGAATCTAGTTACTGAAATTAGTCTCTGATGGTTGATAGTATCTAGAGGAAGATCATATCAATGCAAACTGTAATGGACATCTGCAATTTTGAAATTTCCACATATGATAACTGAAGAGTTTGCTGTTGGGCTTTTTCAATTCTCCCTCGTATCTTAACCTTTTAAGAGTCTTTTGCACTTTCTAGTCTCAAGGGTTTTTGTCTGTTTCACAGTTGAAAGAATAGCTCTGTCACTTTTTTGGTCACAGTGACAAAACCATGTTAATTAGGGCTTTTTTCATGTCTGGTTAGTGACATATCAGTGATGTGGAGGTTGAGAGTAAATAGAGAAGAGAGGAATAATTAGAAGAGGAATTATGTAAGTAGATCCTTAGGGCTAAAAACCTTCACTTAGTGCAAGTAAGACTCTTAGACCCCAGGGCAACTATTTGCGTATCAAGAACTACAGCATCTCGCCTACGGGGAAGCTGAGAATGAACTGTGTTCTGTAAAATGAGTCCAAGCTGACATCTTTATAGAGACCAACTGGAGGATGTTCTTTGTGGAGCACAGGAACTTCCCAGGTGTTGTGTGGGGTCAGGGACCTGTGGAAAATGCCATCCCCCAACTCATTCAGCAAGACACATGATTAATACAGGGAACTGCAATCTCCTTGCTGCTGTTAAACTTTAATTTCTGCATTTAAAACAAAGCAGAGCTATATCAAAAATAACCAAGCCATTTCCACTAGGATAGCATGATTTTAGAGCAGGTCATTTTTAACTGAGAATGTTTGGTACTTTTGTAGTAAATTAGAGGGTTTGTAGCTTGTAGTCAGTGATCCCATACTGACAGGTTTGTGCCAAGCCACTCCTGAATCTATTTAATGGTGAATTTCATTGCAATTGGGAGCCAGGTTCTCTCACTCTTGCCTCCAAGTTACTGTTATTTCTTATAGTTCCCACTGATGCTTCTTTACAGCAAAGGAGGTGAGTGTTTGAATGTTGGTGCCCCTTCTTTGGCTGAGCTTGGCTTTGCTCTTTCCTGCATGGCTTAGTCTGGTTTGTACAGGCCCAGCCTGATGAAGGCTGAGCAGAAAGAAAGTCTCATCCACGCCCTGGCATTTTTTCTGTATTGTATTCAAATCCTTCTCTTGATGGGATTCCTTCTTAGGCAGCCACAAAAGGATGTCTGGTCATTCTAGACTGGCTTGTGGGGTTTGGGTTAGCTTGGTTTTTTGGGGGCAGTGGATTTTAGCAGTGCCAACATCATCTTTCCATGGCTTCTCTCTTGAGCCCGAGACATCTTCTCTCATGAGCTGAGTAAGGGATTTGTATGAGGCAGTAGGGGCTGGAGGTCAGCTGAGCACAGGAGCCTTCCCTTCCCATGGCAGGCAGTGGTGATGGTGATGGCAAACCCAGTTGGAGTTGGACCTGTCAGGTTGGTCATGGCAGTCACCCTTGAGCCAGCTGTCTTGGTTACTGAGTAGAGGATGCCATCTGTGTGGAGATGAAGGTCTCGATGACATTGTGAGTGGATGGCAGCAGTTGGCTGTGGCTGTTGGTGGAGTCAGAGTTCTGGTACAGCACCAGGCTGCTGGAGGACACTGTCAAAGGCACAGGCAGAAGTTAAGTACAAATTCTCACTTGCAGTCCCTTTATCACATGTGCAGACATTTATGTCTCCAGCCTGACTAAAACCTCCTGGCATACAGACTTAACTCATTTTTCTATTCTGTGTGCCATTATATACCCACCTCAAGCAGAAAGCTAGCCTGAAAGTATTGACAGGGTCAGGGAGTTCAGATTTGTCCTGGTTTGAGGTAAAACAGAACTAATTCTAGTTGATTGTTAGTATCCTAGTTCTTCCTTAAAGTCAGAAAGATCCAACTGGAGTCTTCATGAGGGACTCTTGGGCTTTTTAGCCCTGAAAACGGCCTGCAGGATTGGCTATGACTTTTGTCAGTATTTTTAAGGTTACTTTCCTCTCCAGATTCTGAAAAAGGGTCCCATTTCCACAGTCTGGCCTTACACAGCCTGCACAGACTGTCTCCTGAGTCTTTTCCTTGTACCAGCTTTTCACACCCCCCAGACACTGGTAGAGCCCTCTTGGAGGCACCATTTTCTGTCTGGGTTTTACAGTGTTGACAAGAGACATGGCAATACGTGGTTTAAGATCATGGTGGCTGCAGCTCTTACCGGCAGGGCTGGAGGTGAGGCGAGGGCCTGGCTGAAGGTGCTGGATGGTTGTGTCTTGGTTCTGTAAATGTATCGTTGGCGCCTGTGACACTGGTGTATGCATCCCAGACTCCGTGTGAGTCTCTGAGTCAGGTGTGAATGCCTAGAGAACAGAAAGTTAACAGTGCCTGGTTTCTGCATCCCTTCTAACAGGCCTGAGAGAAGAGCAAGCAGGTGCTGTTTCCAAGGAGATTAAATCCTCCTTGATGACGCAGTGAAGAGCTTGCTCTAATGCCTCCAGTACTGCAGCTGGTACCAGCAAGGTGAGGTACCAGCAAGGTGAGGGGACAGGAAAGATCATCCTGCTGGGATGGCAGAGACCACACACCCAAAAACTCTTTTGACAAGCAAGGAGCTACCTGCAGACTGGTGCAGATCTAAGGTTGGGGAACAAAGGCACGTGCTAAAGGCTGTTACCTGTTTGGTTGGTGTCAGGTTAGTCAGGGCGCTGAGATTGGCTGTATCTGTTATCACCATGGTTTGTGGTAAGAGGCCTGTATGTGTGTATTGGGCCACTTCAGACTTGGGGCCGTAGAGAGCTGTGCATGAAAGAAAACAAGATCATGTGGATGCTGGAGCTCTGCATGAGACTATTTTGGCTGAGTTGGTCTCCTCACGCTCGTGGACCTGCTGTCTGTCTCTGAAACAGTGGGAGTGGAGGGACAGGGAGAGGAATGCAAGAGGAAAATAATTTCATAATTAAAGCCACAATAATAGCAGAGGAAAATAGAGTGCTACAAGCCCAAGGACCCAGCAAATGCTCCAGAGCAGAGTCTTTATTTTTTGGTTTGCTTAACAAAATGATTGCACGTTCTTACCGTGAGGGTTCTGTATCTGGGCCATGGTAGCCATGAAGGGGCTCTGGTTGATGTGGCTCTGGACCTGCTGCATGAGGGGCTGCTGGTAGGATGGGTGCAGTTGCTGGGAGAACTGGACCGGCTGCAGGGTAGTGAGGCTGCTCCCCATGCTGTTTATTACCGGGACGCTCTGGGGCTGGGTTGAGGCCAGGCCTGAAAAACAAGGACTGATGACAGTAGCGTCACACACTATGGCAGGAACGTGGCTGCTCTGCAATAGGGGCATCCAAAATAGTCATTGTGGCAGGCCTGTTGTCGCAGGGTGATTTCAGATCCTACTTCTCAGGTGTTCTCTTTATTACTTGTGATTACGAGTAGATTTCGTGCCTGTGAAAATGAAGTGAGTGTGCAAAATGTGCCATGCAAACAGGTACCATAAAACCACCTCTGACTTCCAGTGTTTGTTCCTGTGTACATCCTTGTGTACCAGTATAGGTACCACGTGTGACCATTATAGGTCACTTTCCAGTTT